TCTACTAAATACACAAAAAAATTAGCCAGGTGTGGTGACACACACCTGTAGTCCAAGCTACACAGGAGGCTGAGGCATGAGAATCACTTGAACCTGGGAAGTGGAGCTTGCAGTGAACCGAGATCACATCACTGCACTCCAGCCTAAGCAACGGAGCAAGACTGTCTCCACCCCATATCCCCCCTCAAAAAAGGAAGAAAAAAATTCCAACATTTTCTACAACATGAATGAACCTTGAGGACATTATGCTAAATAAAATAAGCCAGTCACAAAGAGATAAATACTGCATGATTCTATTATATGGAGTACTTAAAACAGAAAAAATCATAGAGACAGAAAGATGAATAATAATGGTAGTTGCCAGGGGATTCGGGAAAATGTAGTTAATAGGTAGAGTTTCAGTCCTGGAAGATGAAAAGTTCTAGAAACTGGCTGCACAATGCGAATATACTTAACACTACTCAACTGTACACTTAAAAATGGTTAAGATGGTAAATACACATTATGTGTACTTTACCACAATTTAAAACAATTTTTTATTCTTTTGAGACAAGGTCTCACTCTGCCACCCAGGCTGGAATGCAGTGACATGAACATAGCTCACTGCAGCCTCCCTCAATTTCCTAGGCTCAAGTAATCCTCCTGTCTCGGCCTCTCAAGTAGCTGGGACCACAGCCAGAACTGGCTAATTTTTTTAAAATTTATTTATTTATTTATTTTTGAGACAGAGTCCGGCTCTGTCGCCCAGGCTGGAGTGTAGTGGCGTGATCTCAGCTCACTGTAACCTCCACCTCCTGGGTTCAAGCTATTCTCCTGCCCCAGCCTCCTGAGTAGCTGGGACTACAAGCATATACCATCATGCCCGGCTAATTTTCTTGTATTTTAGTATAGACGAGGTTTGACTGTGTTGTCCAGGCTGGTCTCGAACCCCTGAGCTCAGGCAATCCACCCACCTTGGCCTCCCAAAGTGCTGGGATTATAGGCGTGAGCCACCATGTCAGGCCTTAAATTTATTTTTTATAGAAATGGGGTCTCACCATGTTGCCCAGGCTGGTCTCAAACACCTAAGCTCATGTGATCCTCCTGCCTCAGCCTCCCAAAGTGCTGAGGTTACAAGTGTAAGCCACTGCACTCAACCTAAAAACAATTTTTTAAAAAACGAGTAAAATACCAAAACGACAAAACAACCTATACCTATTAGTATGAAGTTCAGAAGGATAAGCATCTAACTCTCAACAGTGGTCATCTACGGAGAATACTAGCAGGAAAAGGAACAATATTTTTTCTATTTCTATACTGTTTGCATTTTGATAATAAACAGGTACTAAGCTAATTTTTTAATTTTTAATAATTCCATTGGATATAACTTTTAAGTTAAACTCCAGGTACTAATAGACTTAAGTTCTCAAGCTACCTTAAAAAGAAAGTTTTGCTGAGCACAGTGGCTCACACCTGTAATCCCAGCACTTTGGGAGGCCGAGGCAAGAGGATTGCTTGACCTCAGGAGCTAGAGACTAGCCTGGGCAACATGGTACGATCCTATCTTGACAAAAAGTAACTAAAAAGTTAGACCTAGATGTAGCTTCTCTACTCCCTCTCATATCTCTGCCTGGTTTGGACCACCTGCCTCCACTCTTGCCTCTACCATGTTCACCAGGGTGACCCAGACGTCCTACAAGGTATCGATCTCTGGTCCCTGCAACTTCAGCAGCTGCTTCTACACGAGTGGACCAGTGCCCACATTAGCTCCTCAAGGCTCTCCCAAGTGGGTAGTAGCAGTGCTTCTGGGATGGCCTGGGTGCCGGCATGGGTCTGGGTGGAAGCTATATGGCAGGGCCAGTGATAATGGGGAGCATCACAGCCGTCATGGTGAACCAGAGCCTGCTGAGCCCCCCTTAAGCTGGAAGTGGAACTCAATATCCAGGCCATGTGTGCCCAGGAGAAAGAGCAGATCAAGACCCTTAACAGTACATTTGCCTTCTTCACAGACACAGTACAGCTCCTGAAGCAGCAGAACAAGATGCTGGAGAGCAAGTGCAGCCTCTAGCAGCAGCAGCAGACAGCACAGAGGAACATGGACAACATGCTTGAGAGCTACATCAACAACCTTCAGCAGCAGCTGTACATTCTGGGCCAGGAGCAGCTGAAGCCGGAGGCAGAGCTTGGCAACGTGCAGGGGCTGCGGGAGGACTTCAAGAATAAACATGAGGATGAGATCGATAAGTGTACAGAGATGGACAATGAATTTGTCTTCATCAAGAAGTTTATGGACAAAACTTACGTGAACAAGGTAGAGCTGGAGTCTTGCATGAGATCCATTTCCTCAGGCAGCTGTATGAAAAGGAGACCCAGGAGCTGCAGTCCCAGATCTTGGCCACATCTGTGGTCCTGTCCATGGACAACAGCCACTCCATGGACACAGACAGCATCATCACTGAAGTCAAGGACAAGCATGAGATCGCCAACTGCAGCTGGGCTGAGGCCGAGAACATATACCAGATCAAGTATGAGGAACTGCAGACACTGGATGGGAAGCATGGGGATAATCTGTGTCACATGAAGATTAAAATCTCTGAGATTAACCAGAACATCAGCCAGCTCCAGGCTGAAACTGAGGACCTCAAAGGCCAGAGGACTTCCCTGGAGGCTGCCGTCACAAATTCAAGTAGCGTGGGGAGCTGGCCGGTAAGGACAGCAATGCAGCTGGGTGCAGTGGCTCACATGTTAATCCCAGCACTTTTTGAGGCCAAGGTGGATGAATTGTTTGAGGCCAGGAGTTCGAGACCAGCTTGGGAAACATGGCGAGGCCCCGTCTCCACCAAAAACATAAAAATTAGTCTTATAACCCAGTCTAAAAAAAATAAAAATTTAAAAATATATTTTTTTTTTTTAAAAAAAGGATACCACACCCCAAGCTGGCATACCAGGAGCTGAAGAACATCAAGCTGGCCCTGGACACAGAGGTCACCACCTACGGGAAGTTGCTGGAGGGCAACAAGAGTAGGCTGAAGTCTGGGATATAGAACATAAGCACAAAGACCACCAGCGGCTACTCAGGTGCGCTGAGCTTGGCCTGTGGGACCTCACAAGCCCTAGCCTCAGCTATGGCTAGGCTCCAGCTTTGGCTCTGGTGGGGGTTCTGGATCCTTCAGCCACACCAGCTCCCCCAGGGTTCCTCCCAGGCCATGGTTGTGAAGGAAATAGAGACCCGAGATGGGAAGCTGGTGTCTTAGTCCTCTGATGTCCTGCCCAAGTAAATCGGCATAGCAGCCCCTCCCAGCCCATCCCTTCCTGTGGATGCCCCAGAGCCTGCGGAAGAGGCCACTGTATAGGGAAACATAGGGAACAGGAGTGAGCATAGCCTCACATGACTGAGGCTCAGTCCTAGCCCTCAGCCCACTTGGGATGTACCGCAGACAATGAACTCCCGGGTTCCCCCGCTGGCCCATGACTCCGGCTACAAAACAATTTGTTATTTTCCAGAATAAAGCCTCAACTAGCTCTGCCATTAAAAAAAAAACAAAAACAAAAACAAAAACAAAAAATGGCCAGGCTTGGTGGCGTGTGCCTGTGCATTCCACCTACTTCGGGGGCTGAAGTGGGAGAATCGCTTGAGCCCAGGTCAAGGTTGCAGTGAATTGTGGTTGCACCACTCCACTCCAGCCTGGGCAACAGCACAAGCCTGTCTCAATGCTAAAGTTTTAACAAGCATTTCCTCATAAAAGCATGCATGAGTAGATGGTTTAGTTAAGGAAAATGCCTGGGTCATCCAGTTAACCTGAGATGCTATTAGGCTTACCCCACCATAAAACTTCCTGGCCCATGATGCCTTAATCCAAACTAGAGGTACACTCTCTAATCTGGAAATGGTTGACAAGTGTGGTAGGACAAGAGCTGGCAGCCCAAAGCACAATATCCTACGATTTTCAAACTTCTTCTCCCTACCTGCTAACTGAACACCAGGCCCACATCGGCACTTTTCTTTCAGAACCTGATTCTCTATTCCTCCAACCCCTCTTCAAGAGTGCTATGAGGATTGGGGGTGTCTATCAAGACGCCCTCAGCAACCAACAGCCATTCCAGAAAAGCTGACGTAACCAAGGGCTGCCAACAAGAGCAGCTTCCCAGCAGGATGATTTAGTAACCTTCACGAGGCAGAGAGCAACGCCTCCCACAAATTCTGGTTGGAAGAAACGATCTGGATTGTGGAAAAGTACAACTTAAAAAGCAAACACCACAGGCTCCAGTAGAGCAGGAAAGCAAGCAGAGATTTCTAAATACAAAGCTCAATTGTAAGAGTTCACTGTACCTTAATTCTCACTATCATCATTTGCTCTGTCAAAAATAGAACGTTCCATGTCTTGATCCATTCAGAATAAGCCACAGCAGGCACAGCTCTGCTTCCACAGGGCAGCCAGGTCAGAAAGGCCACACAGGGAAATGGAAAAGGCAGCCAGCAGGTTTTCTTAAGGATTATACTCTTCTGGGCTTTCATCCTTCTTCCCAGCTATTCTGGTGCCAAGAAAGCTGCAGGGAGGTCTTTGCTCTGCTCTGAAAAAGCTTCAATCTTTTCACCCGCAAGATTGAAGCAGTCTTAGGGCTGGAACTCCCTCTGCTGCCCAGTGTTTTCTTTGCATGCTGTAGTCAGTTGAATGAATTTCAAACTCACAGTGACTCAATGAGAGTGTTCAGCAAATACTGACACCATTAAATAATGTCCCCAACCTACTTAGGTTAGAAACTCTAGTATTCCAGCACCCAGAACTAGAAGTGCTAAAGACACCTGTTAGTGCAATAACCCTTATTCATTTTTGTGAACCCTCCCTTTCTCGACCTCCCAATACTGGAAGCTTACCTGTTAGGCAGAATTCCTAATCTGCCTCAAAATCTACAGGTCCAAGATCTGAGAATACCAAGTGCTCAAGGCAACTGCCACCCTTCAGAAAACTAAAGTAAATACCAACAACGAATGGTGTTACTGGGTAAAAGGTCTCCACCACTGAACAGAAGCAATGTACATGTTTTAATACAAACAATCCCATAGCATTTATTGACATCTTGTAATAACATAAGGGTAATCAAAACAATATGAATAAATGTTCACACTGGACAAAGGACATCTAAAAACAAAATGTATCCTTCTCAACAATTTCTCACTTCATTGATCATTTCTAGTTGGAGACACTTTGTAGCAGAGTAATATTATCTCCTTTTAGCATGATCCGACCTGCAACACAAAAACAACAAAAAGCTATTAATAGCCACAGACTGAATTTTGTATCCAGTTTTTGAACAATATTTTGAAAATGCTTTCTTATAGAAAATATGTGAACATGGCCAGGCACCATGGGCTCACACCTGTAATCCCAATCACCAGATCAGGAGTTCAAGACCAGCCTGGCCAACATGGTGAAACCCCATCTCTACTAAAAATACAAAAATTAGCTGGGCATGGTGGCATGCCTATAATTATAGGCCTATAGCCTATAATCCCAGCTACTCCAGAAGCTGAGGCAGGAGACTTGCTTAAACCCAGGGAGGCGGAGGTTGCAGTGAGCCGAGATCACACCACTGCACTCCAGCCTGGGTGACAGAGCAAGACTCTCTCTTGGGAAAGAAAAAAAAAAGTGAACATTTTCAAGTGTCCATGTAGTGAAAGGCTTTCTGGCTCCATTAGAGTACATTCACCTTTTCAACAACAACCTAACAAAAGTACATAATATTTCATGACAAGCACCATTTCTACAGACTAAGTCAACTCAATAGGCTTCATCCAACATTTCCCAATGCCAAGTCTGTAAAAGTTTGGAAATGGGTCGTATGTCAAGTTGAGGAAATACAGCATATTATAACCCCATTCTTAAAGCTGTTAGTGTATAAAAGACTCCACCCAGCCAGGCACCGTGGCTCACCCCTATAATCCCAACACGTTGGGAGGCTGAGGCAGGTGGATCACCTGAGGTCAGGAGTTCAAGACCAGTTTGACCAACATGGAGAAACCCTGTCGCTACTAAAAACACAAAATTAGCCAGGCATGGTGGCACATGCCTGTAATCCCAGCTACTCGTGAGGCTGAGGTCTCAGTGAGCCGAGATCACGCCACTGCACTCCATCCTGGATAACAAGAATGAAATTCAGCCTCAGAAAAAAAGAAAATACTTTTTCTTCTGAGAAATCTGTAACATCTTCAGGAACACTGGTGTTCACTAGCAGAACAGTTTTGAGACATGTTAATCAACAGTAATTAAACTGTTTTACTTTCCCATACTGCTTCTGAGAATCTACTTTCCATGTATCTAGTGTAGGTTCAAGAGAATCCTGAGGGTCTGAGAGACACCTGAACCCACACTGATAAAAGTATTAGTGAGCACTTAACAAATAAAGACAAAATGCCTAAATAAACCTCAAGTGAATGGGATGTTAACAGAAACTATTCAGTGTGTCTCGATGAAACCATGAATTCTAGGACCATTCATTAACTGGGTTAAGAAATACCATTCATTGAGAGGCACAATGGCTCACACATGTAATCCCAGCATTTGGGAGGCTGAGGCAAGCAGATTGCCTGAGCTCAGAAGCTTGAGACCAGCCTGGGCAACACAATGAAAGCCCATCCCTACTAAAATACAAAAAAGTCAGATGTGGTGGTGTGTGCCTGTAATCCCAGCTACTCGGGAGGCTGAGGCAGGAAAATCACTTGAACCCGGGAGGCGGAGGTTGTAGTGAGCTGAGATAGCACCATGGGCGACAGAGCAAGACAAGACTCTGTCTCCCAAACAAAAAAAAAGAAATATCCTTCATTGTTCAAAATTTTTTGAGTTTCTATTATGTGCCAGGCACTGAGTATACTAGGAACCGAGAAGACATGACTCATGCACTTATGATGAAGCATCTGATAATAGGAGAGACATGAATAAAATAAACCCACTAATAAATGTTTTACTACAAACTCAGGGAGCACATAATCCTGCCTTCCCCTATCCCCAGCAAAACCAAATTAAACTCTGAACTTTTTAGAGCAGGGCTTCCTAACTACTGGGCCACAGATCAGTACTGGTCCTGGTCCCTGTTAGAAACTGGGCCACAGAGCAAGAGGTGAGCAGCCGACTAGCGGCTTCATCTGTATTTACAGCCACTCCCTATCACTAGCATTCCTGCCTGAGCTCTGCCTCCTGCCAGGTCAGCAGAGGCCTTAGATCCTTATAGGAGCACAAGCCCTATTGTGAACTGGCCACAAGAGGGGATCTAGGACTCCTTATGAGAGCCTAATGCCTCATGATCTGTCACTGCTCCCCATCACCCCCAGATGGGACCACCTACTTGTGGGAAAACAAGCTCAGGGCTCCCAGTGATTCTGTATTATGGTGAGTTGCATAATTATTATATGTTACAATGTAATAATAATGGAAATAATGTTCACAAAAAATATAATGTGCTTGAACCATCCAAAAACAATCCTCCACACCCCGGTCCACAGAAAAATTATCTTCCATGAAACCGGTCCCTGGTGCCAAAATAGTTGGGGATCGTTGTCTTAAAGGAAGTGATATTTGATCTGAGCTCTAAAGACACAAGGAATATCATATACAAAAATTAACGGGCAAATGTACAGATTCAAAGAACTGAAATAAGACGAGTGTTGCTAGAGCTCAGAAAGAGGCACGTTGATACGAGATTAGCAGAGGGAGAGAAGACTAGATCATGAAGATCATTAGATATGCAGAATCATTAGATTTTTTTTAATCCTAAGAGCAACAGGAAGTCATTGAAGAATTTCAAGCAAAGGGATGACACAGTCAGACTGGTGTTTTTAAAGATGACTGAAGCCTGGAAAGAAAACTAGAGGTAGCTGCAAAGAAATCAATTAGTAAGCTGAATGAAAACTGGTGCCATTCAATAAGGCAGGAAATAATACTACAATAGCTCTAAATTGTGTGCGTTGGAATTGAGTTTGCTTTCTGATACGCTGACTTTGAGAAGCCTTTGAAACATTCAAGTAGAAATGGTGAATAGGCTCAGAGAGGTCTTGGCTACCAACAAATTTGGGAGTCAACATATAGATGGCAATTGAGGCTGTACTCCAGTGTCTAGGTAGACAACACTGAATGGCAGGAAGGCCTAGAACCAAGCCTGGAGCAACTCATTTAGTCACTGCATCCCAAAGAATGAATATACAAGTCTGAAAATAGCTGGAAATGAAAAATAAAAACCCAAGTATAATATTGTAAAGCCAAGGTGTGATACTACAAAATATATATTTTGTCTTCAATCCCATACAACTCCTAAAATCCTTAGAATCTCTAGGTGTTGCCTTTTTGTATGCTAATGACTGACTGATGGCCAGCACCTTCTAGTTCCAGGATGGGAGTTGGTCACTGAAAGGACTAAGGGATGATTAGTGAGGTCGGACTTTCAGCCCCACCCTCTAACCCAAGGAGGAGGAGAAGCTGAAGGTTAAACTGATCACCAGTGGTCAAAGGTTTAATCAGTCATGCCTATGTAATGGAGCTTACATAAAAACTGAAAACAGGCCAGTTGCAGTGGCTCAAGCCTGCAATCCCAACACTTTGGGAGTCCAAGGAGGGTGGATCACAAGACCAGGAGTTTGAGACCAGCCTGGCCAACATGGTGGAACCCCATCTCTACCAAAAATACAAAAATTAGCCAGGCATGGTGGTGGGTGCCTGTAATCCCAGTTACTTGGGAGGCTGAAGCAAGAGAATTGCTTGAACCTGGGAGGCAGAGGTTGTAGTGAGCCAAGACCACGCCATTGCTTTACAGCCTGGACGACAGAGGGAGACCTTGTCTCCAAAAAAAAAAAAAAACCTGAAAACAATGGGATTCTGATAGCTCAACATGTGGAGGTTCCTGGAGGGTGGTGAGCTTGAAGAGGGCAAGAAGCCTTTGCATTCCTTCCTATATACCTTGTCCTACGCATCTCTTCGTCTGTATTCACTGGAATATCCTTTATCACAAGCCAGTAAATGGAAGTATTTCCACGAGTTCCATGAGCTGCTCTAGCAAATTAGTCACACCAAAGGAGGGGTCATGGGACCCAATTTCTAGCCACTCGGTAGGAAGCACAAGTAAAACAATCTGGAGCTGACAACTGGCATCTGGTGGAGGGTTGAGGGGCAGGGAAGGGAATCTTGGGGACTGAGCCCTCAGCCTCCGGGAACTGACGCTATCTGCAGGTAGACGGTGTTAGAACTGAACTGAACTTGAGGACTCCAAGTTGATATCCACTGCCGAACTGATTGCTTGCTTGGTGTGTGGGGAAACATGCCCACACATCTGGTCACAGAAGTCTTCTGTGTTGATTACTGTCAACTGAGGAAATAGAAAAATATGCTTGGGTTTTTCCCCCACTCAGACAAGGGAACAAGGCACTTTAAGGAGGGAGAGGCCAACAGTGCCAGATGCTGCTGAGAGTTTAGTAACATAAGGATTAGTACTGACCATTAGATTTAATACCACTAGTCTTTGGTTTCCTTGGTGAGAGCTCTCTGGGTGGAGAAGCCAAAATGGAGTGTGGTGAGGAGTGAGTAGCGGATGATTTTTGTGTACTACTACTCTGAATAATAACTTCTCAAATGCAACCTAAGTTTAAACATGAACTGAATTGCAAGTTGCTGAATTCTGCAAGTGAATAAAACATTTCTAGAATTCTGTAAGACCACTTATATCCTTACCCAGTTGTTTTCTCGACTTTGTTTTAGAATGAATCTCTTCTGCATCATCTAATACGAGGTTCATATACTCATCAAAACCCTAGAAAAATAAGCAAACTATTGTTTTCAAAGAAAATCACATCCATTTTAAATGAGTATACCCAACCCAATACAAAAATCCAGCGAACCAAAAATTCACTCATCTGAAGCCCTACCCCACCTTCCACCCAAAGCCTTTTTTTTTTTTTTTTTGTTGAAAAAGGCTCTCACTTTGTCTCCCAGGCTGGAGTGCACTGGTGTGACCTCAGCTCACTACAGCCTCAACCTCCTGGGTTCAAGCGATTCTCCTGCCTTAGCCCCCCAAGTAGCTGGGATTACAGAGTGCACCACCATGGCTGGCTACTTTTTGTATTTTTGGTAGAGATAGGGTTTCGCCATGTTGCCCAGACTGGTCTTGAACTCCTGAGCTAAAGTGATTCACAGCGCCTGGCCTCCCAAAGTGCTAGGATTACAGGTGTGAGTCACTGTGTCCAGCAAATTTAAAAATTAGCTGGACATGGTGGTGTATGCCTACAGTCCCACCTACTAGGGGCTGAGGTATGAGAATCACTTGAGCAAAGGGGTTCAAGATTGCAGTGAGCTATGACAGCACCTGGGTGACAGAGCAAGACCTCAACTTAAAAAAAAAAAAGGCCAAGTGCAGTGGTTCACGCCTGTAATGCCAGCACTTTGGGAGTCCGAGGTGGGTGGATTACAAGGTCAGGAGATGAAAAACATCCAGGCCAACATGGTGAAACCCCATCCCTACTAAAAATAGAAAAAAAATTAGCTGGGTGTGGTGGTGTGCACCTACAGTCCCACCTACTTGGGAGGCTGAGGCAGGAGAATTGCCTGAACCCAGGAGGTGGAGGTTACAGTGAGCCAAGATCGTGCCACTGCGTTCCAGCCTGGCAACAGAGTGAGACTCTGTCTCCAAAAAAAAAAAAAAAAAATTACTAAGGGTATCCTGCTATCCCCAGGAGCCTTATTTAACTAATCCCACTGAGCTCTATTCAGGCACCACCTAACCCACAACAAATAACTCCATTAGTCCCCGCCCTCCCTAATTTCATTTCTTTTGTCCCCTCTCTCTATACTAACATTGTTGCTCAAATTATGTTTTTTCAAATAATTTTTACAAGTTAGTTTTCAGCCAGGCATTGTGGCTCATGCCTGTAATCCCAAGACTTTGAGAGGCTGAGGCTGGAGAATCATTTGAGCCTAGGAGTTTCAGACCCGCTTGGGCAACACAGTGAAAACTCATCTCTATAAAAAAATCAAAATTTAGTGGGCTGTGATGGTGCACACTTGTGGTCCTAGCTACTTGTGAGGCTGAGGCAGGAGGACTGCCTGAGCCCATGAGGTCGAGGCCTCAATGAGCCATGATTGTACAATTGCACTCCAGCCTGAGCAACAGAACAAGACCCTCTCAAAAAATAAATACAAAATCTCTTCTCAACATAGACAGAGGAAAGAAAATGAATTAAAAGTTAATTTTCCCTGTCTTTTTAAAATTACCCAAAATTAAATTACTTTCTGTGAAGTCTTTTTCTATGACCAAACTGCTATGCGATACAATTGCCTGTATACTCACAATGATACAGCCTTCTATCCGCATATTCACTTGCTCATAGAGCCACACCTGAATCCGAGATCTCTGAAATAATCATAAAAATGGAAACATTAACAAAAGAAAAATAGGGCCAGACACGATGGCTCAAGCCTGTAATCTCAGCACTTTGGAAGGCCGAGGCAGGTGGATCACGAGGTCAAGAGATTGAGACCACCCTGGCCAACATGGTGAAACCCCGTCTTTCCTAAAAATACAAAAAAAAAAAACAAAAAACTTAGCGGGGCATGGTGGCACGCGCCTGTAGTTCCAGCTACTCAGGAGGCTGAGGCAGAAGAATTGCTTGAACCTGAGAGGTGGAGGTTGCACTGAGGTGAAATCGCGCCACTGCACACTCCAGCCTGGTGACAGAGCGAGACTCTGTCTCAAGGAGAAAAAAAAAGAAAAGAAAAACAGGCCAGGTGCCTTGATTCTCACCTGTAATTCCAGTACTTTGGGATGCCAAAGTGGAATAATTTGTTTGAGGCCAGGTGTTCAAGATAAACCTGCACAACATTAAGCAAGATCTTGTCTCCAAAAAAAAAAAAAAAAAAAACTTGAAACAAAACCTAACCATTATGGTAAAATGACAGAGAAATATGGCTCCTAAAAAAACTGTAATAAATGTAAGTCAAGAGTTTTAATTAGCCCATATCTAAGAATTATTCACCAAGAACAATTACCTCAAAGAAAATTCTCTTTTTTCTTTTTTTTAAAGATGGGGTTTTGCCATGATGGCCAGGCTGGTCTTGAACTCCTGACCTCAGGTGATCCACCCACCTCGGCCTCCCAAAGTGCTAGGATTACAGGCGTGAGCCACCGCGCCCGGCCTAGAAAATTTTCATTTAATAAGTGCTATATTGGAACTGTAAAAGCTAATAATTTTCCTGTGATCTTGGGACTCAATATTTCCTACTGCTTCTGGTCTCAATATATTTAGAGTGAAAGTTTTTGACAGTATAGCACAAAGCTGTAATTTCCAATGACCAAGGGCTTATCTCCTTCAGCAAAATCCAGCTCCAAAACAAAGCTTTCCTATATCACACACCTAACAACGAGGATAGGAACCCTCAATTCAGGTGGTTAAAAATTATAATCACTTGAAATTAATGTTTTTCAGTTGCGTTGTCACAGTATAAAATTTAAGTTGCTAAAAATTCCCTGAAATGAAAGCAGCTGCCACTAAACTCCTCTGAAGCTACACGTTCTCTCTTCCTTTATTCGTGTCTTTTAGTTTTCCCACAGGTACTAAACACAAAACCTCTTGACATGGTTTAAGTTGGGTTTTTCTTCCAATGTTTCATCCTAAAGGGGAGAGATTCCAATGTTCTAGCCATAATCACTACTAACAAAAGTACTGATGCCCAAATACCATGGTCAAGTCTGCTAATAATACTTTTTGGAAATAAAAAGGACTTTTGATCTTGCAAAGTAATGATACAATTCTTTGCATGCTGGGAAGTGGCATGGATAACACTACTTCATCACATTAGTGCTTTCTCTGTACTCCTTCCCCTCAATTACTCTCCAATCTCCAGTTCCATCTGTTTTTAAACTCTAGAACATAGCGATCGCTCGGGTTAACACAAAACTAAATCAATTCACCTCTTATTTAAAAACCAGTTACGAAACAATTAACAAGCAACTTACGTACATTTTGTAAGTATCTGAAGATGAGGTTCTGCACCGCAGTGGTTAAGGAAAAAATACAAAAGCAGCATAGACTCTATTCCCTAAAACAACTGGACGACTGTGCGCCGGTCTCACCTTTTTTTACTGAACACGAAGTCTGGTGCTTACATAAAGAAGAAGTGCCCAGCTGGGCACTCATTAGGGGTCTTGAACATCCCTCCCACTCTCATTCCCCTGGAGTTTCCCGAAACCATTAACTCCCGTTTTCATTCAGCACCTACTTGAAGTTCTCTTCCCTCCTTTCGCCGCCTCCACTCCAGCATTCCCCACTGCAGGGGTCCACCCAAGACCCCCTCCCCACCATCACGGTTCTTCAACTACCCGCGCTTTCTTCCCGTCTTGATCGCCCCGGGGGCTCATGGGATGTGGGTCCGTAGTCCGCTCCCCCAGGCCTGCTCTCAGCCTGCGCCTTGGCCCCCCCTATTCTGGCCCGACCCTCCTAGTCCTGACATCCTGCGTAGGATACGATGGGCTGCACCATAACCTTCTGCACTTTCTGGCCCTGGCCACGGTACGCCATGGTGGAATTTCACAAAGAGCACACCCGCACGCTGCCTCTGAGAGCAACTTCCGGAATAAAGAACAGGAAGCGGAAGTGCGTGAGGTCACGTGGCGATCTGGGCGGCTCTTGGGAAATGCCCCACTAGCCAAGAAGTCTCTTTTCTCCACTGCACACCTCCGAGGGAGGCTAAACTGAGGCTTCCGCGCTGTGGAAATTGGGCCGGTCCTACAGCGCCACCTGGAGGGAGGCTGGCGGAGGCGCCTTCGGTTGTAGGGTGGCCGTGGCGGGAGGAGTGCCGTTGTGTCTCCATTTTCTTTTCTTTTTTTTTTGAGAGTCTCGCTCTGTCGCCCAGGCTGGAGCAGTGGCGCGTGCAACCTCCGACTCCCGGGTTCAAGCGTTTCTCCGGCCTCAGCCTCCCAAGTAGCTGGGACTACAGGCGTGCCCGCCACCACGCCTGGCTAATTTTTGTGTTTTTAGTAGAGACGGGGTGTCACCGTGTTACCCAGGCTGGTCTCGATCTGCTGACCTCGTGATCCGCCCGCCTCGGCCTCCCAAAGTGCTGGTATTAACCGGCGTGAGCCACCGCGCCCGGCCCGGGTCTCCATTTTCTGAGTTAAAGAGCCAAAATTAGGCCGGGCGCGGTGGCTCACGCCTGTAATCCCAGCACTTTGGGAGGCTGAGGCGGGTGGATCACGAGGTCAAGAGATCGAGACCATCCTAGTCAACATGGTGAAACCCCGTCTCTACTAAAAATACAAAAAAAATTAGCTGAGCATGGTGGCGCGTGCCTGTAATCCCAGCTACTCAGGAGGCTGAGGCAGGAGAATTGCTTGAACCCAGGAGGCGGAGGTTGCGGTGAGCCGAGATCGCGCCATTGCACTCCAGCCTGGGTAACAAGAGCGAAACTCCGTCTCAAAATAAATAAATAAATAAATAAATAAATAAAGAGCCAAAATTGTCCCACTGCATCTCTGTGTGTAAAATGAGTTAATTTCGTGCCTTTCCTGAAGCCTGTTTTGCTGGAGTTTAGGCTTGATAGCAGCGTTGTGGTGGAAAGGGTAGGGCAGCAAGAAGCCCAAACGTCAGGCCTCCCACTTCTGGCAGTCGGCCAGGGGCAGCCTGCATTCCAAAGCCAAACGCCTGGTTCGCTCCAGTGACGGATTCAAGATTCAATTCTCAGCCACTTCGTGGACAGGTGTTCAGGTGGCAGCTGAGGGTGGCCATTTTCCATGAAGACGCTGAAATCCACATGCTGGGCGTAAATCCAGCTCTTTTAGAGTTGTGTGACCAAGGATAAATTACTCAGCTCCCCGTGTCTTCGCTTAGTTTCCAAAACGAAGATTAAGATGTATTTTCCTCAGGGTCTTGAAGATTCAACGAAAGAATTGTCTGTGTGTGCACACAGGCGTCAGCCAGTGTCAGAACATGTCCATCCCTGGGTAACACAGCTACTAAGTGGAGGAGCTGGAATTGGTAGGCGTGCGTGACCCCCGAGCCCACCTCCTTCCCATTGTGTCATAGCTTGTGGCCTGGCAGAGATTTCATTTAGTTGGCATACCCATTTTTTGGAGGAAGAAACTTAAGTTCGGAGTTTTGAAAGCACTTGCCTACGGGAGCACGGATTGGGGCAAATGGCAGAATCAAAATTAGCTTTTCTGAGGTCTTCTGTTTAATGGGGATAATAGTAATAACGACCTCAAAAAGGGGTTGGGTTGAAAGTGATTTTTAAACTACACAAAGCGGCCGGGGGCAGTGGCTCACGCCTATAATCCCAGCATTTTGGGAGGCTGAGGCAGGTGGATCACCTGAGGTCAGGAGTTCAAGACCAGCCTGGCCAACATGGTGAAACTCCATCTCGACTAAAAATACAAAACTTAGCCAGGTGTGGTAGCACACACGAATGTAATCCCAGCTACTCGGGAGGCTGAGACAGGAGGATCCCTTGAACCGTGGAGGCAGAGGTTGTAGCGAGCCACGATCGCACTCCAGCCTGGGCAACAGAGTGAGACTCTCTCCAAAAAAAATAAATAAATAAAAATAAATAAACTACACAAAGCTAGCAAATGCTTGGGTTAACTATTTCCTTTAAAAAATTTCAGCTGGGTGTGCTAGCTCATGCCTGTAATCCCAGCATTTTGAGAGGCAGTCAGTAGGCTTGCTTGAGCCCGGGAGTTCAAGACCAGCCTGAGCAATATAATGAGACCTTGGCCCTACAAAAAAAAATTTTTAAATTAGCCAAGCATGGTGGTGCCCATCTGTAGTCCCAGCTACTCTGGAGGCTGTGGCAGGAGAATCGCTTAAACCCAGGAGGTAGACGTTGCAGTGAGCAGAAATCATGCCACTGCACTCCAGCCTGAGCAACAGAACTAGACCCTGTCAAAAAAAAAAAAAAAAAAAAATTCCCTAGTTAGGCTTGGTGGCATGGCCTGTAGTCCCAAGTACTAGGGGAGGCTGAGGTGGCAGGACTGCTTGAGCCCAGCAGTTCAAGAGTGCAATGAGCTGTAATGGCACCTATAAATAGCCACTGCACTCCAGCCTGGGAAACATAGTGAGACCTAGTCTTAAAAAAAAAGTTCCCCCACCCAAACCCAGTAGAGTGTCATGTTGTCTGACTTCAAGACAGCATGTTTATTTATCCCGCCCCCCTTTTTTTAGACAGGATCTCCTACTGTGGCCCAGGCTGACGTGCAGTGTGCGGTGGTCCAATCTTGGCTCACTGCAACCTCCCCACCAGGGCTCAAGTGATTCTCCCACCTCAGCCTCCTGAATAGCTAGGACCACAAGTGTGCATCACCACACCTGGCTAGTTTTTTTGTATTTTTAGTAGAGACAAGGTTTTGCCATGTTCGCCAGGCTGGTCTTGAACTCCCAGCCTCAAGTGATCCTCCTGCCTCAGCCTCCCAAAGTGCTAGGATTACAGGCATTAGCTGCACCCGGCCAGGATTACTTTTTTTTTTTTTTTTTTTTTTTTTTTTTTGAGACGGAGTTTCACTCATGTTACCCAGGCTGGAGTGCAATGGCGCGATCTCGGCTCACCGCAACCTCCGCCTCCTGGGTTTAGGCAATTCTCCTGCCTCAGCCTCCTGAGTAGCTGGGATTACAGGCACGCGCCACCATGCCCAGCTGATTTTTTGTATTTTTAGTAGAGACAGGGTTTCACCATGTTGACCAGGATGGTCTCGATCTCTTGACCTGGTGATCCACCCGCCTCGGTCTCCCAAAGTGCTGGGATTACAGGCTTGAGCCACCGCGCCCGGCCATGTGATGTCTTTTTATTTGTTCAAACTTTCCTTTGACTTTTTCCTAAGTTTTTGGTTTTCTTCATATAGGCCTTGTGATTTCTTAAGTTTAACCCTAGACATTTCATCTCTCTTCTTCTCAAAAATTGTATCTTTTCCTGAATTGTATGCACCAGCTGGTTTTTAGGGGAAAAAAGAATGATAAATGAAACTACATAAAAATGATAAAATTCTGCATGACTAACAAGTGAAAATAACAAGTCAAAGGATCTGGGAAAAATATGTTTGCATTCCATCTGAAAAATGACTAGTTTTTATGTAAAGAGTTCCTGAAAAAGAATGCTATTCTGGTTCTCTACTGATGTGTAAGAAATATTCCAAAACTTAGTAGCTTAAAACCACCACCATTTTAATTCGTGACTTCATGGGTCAGGAGTTTGGGCCGGCTCTCAGCTGAGTGATTCTTCTACTCCACAAGACATATCTAAGGCTTTGGTGTTTATCTTTGGAAGACTAGCCTCAGCTAGGTTACTATCTCTATGTAGCCTCAGCCCTCACCACATGGTCTCTCTAGAAGGGTAGTATGCTTTCTTATATGGGGGATTAAGGGTCTAGGAAACCAAGGTTGAAGCTACTAGCACTTTTAAAAGCCAAGCCTAGACAGGCGTGGTGGCTCACGCCTGTAATCCCAGAACTTTGGGAGGCCAAGGTGGGCAGATCATCTGAGGTCAGGAGTTTGAGACCAGCCTGACCAACATGGTGAAACCCCATGTCTACTAAAAATACAAAAACTAGCCGAGCGTGGTGGCGGGCACCTATAATCCCAGCTACTTGGGGGGCTGAGGCAGGAGAATTGCTTGAACCTGGGAGGCAGAGGTTGCAGTGAGCGGAAATCACACCACTGCACTCCGGTCTGGGTGACAGAGTGAGACACCATCTCAAAAAAAAAAAAAAAAAAAAAGACCGAAAATTGGTGATGGATGATGTGAACAATTAGTTTGTAACAAAGGAAAGAGGAATGGTCTTTAAACGCCCAGCTTCACTCATAAGAGAAAGGCTACATTCAGAATGTCTGTCATAAAAGAAAAAAAGAGAAAGGCAAACCAAACTCTACTGAAGTACTATGTCCCTTATTAGATTGGCAATGATGAAAACATAGTGGTAAATTATGAAGCTCTATTTCTAGGTACTTATCCTCCATATAAACTTACATATGTGGTATAACGTAATCATTACAGCATTGTTTAAAACACCAGGATGGGAAGCAACCTAAATGTCTATCAGTAGGGATTAGCTATTGTAAATCACTCCATCTTCATAGGGTGTAATTCTATGCAAATGTTAAGAAGATTAAAGGTCTTTGTGTCCTGATATGAAATGATATTGAATATACATTATGAGAAAAAAGCAAGTTATAATATGCTTGAGATTTACTTCAGAATAACTCAGTGGAGCCAGCAGGGCCAGATCTCAGATAAGGTAAGCCTAAGGATTCAGCATTTTAGGAATCCCAATCACAGGTTCAAGTACAATCCTTGAAAGTTAGTGCCTCCTTAAATTGTGCCCAAGTACCTTGCTTGCCTCACCGTCGGCCCAGCCAAGGTCAGAATAGTGGGTGATGGATAGTTGGTATGGTAAAGATGAAATAGGATTTGCCATGAATTTGTAATTGTTGAAGATGG